TTCAATATTGGCAATTTCGCATTTAATCTTTAAGCGCATAAAACAAGTCAACAGTGCAAACATTTCTCCTTGTATTCCTTAATATCTCATAGCCCTTTTTTCGGGACACGCTGCTCGTATCAACGCACACGTGCGTTTAACGCTTCCTTTTTTTTATAAATAGCTAACACTTTACGAACCTAATCATCGCACCCAAGAACTGTCTGAACTGTGCCCGTAAAAAATTCAACATAAATTAAAAGGCCGACATTAGTTAGTTTTTTACTTTTGGACACTTGCAGAGAGCACGGGCAATCTCAGCTGCTGCGATATGAAAACCCTAAAGTAAGCTCATTCACATTCGGTCGTATTTTTACGATTTATTTACAATTTAAATCCGCGCAAGCAGAGGGACAGATCCCAAATCCGAAGCCGAGTGCGCGCCTAATGCGCATTGAATAAAGTACTAAAAAAATAATTTGTAAACTGCGGGGCATATGAGCACAGGCCCGAATAAGGACTCCCCAGCTGTAATGCTGTGCGTCGCTTTTCAAATTTTATGTGTATTACGTATACGTAGTGCGTGTTATATTCACTTCCGGTTGGCGGCGTGCGCACGGGCTCGGTCCATGTTTAATGTTGTTTTGACGCCGCCATATTAACCGGAAAGCGGGACCGGAGCTAAAAGACAGGAAATGTGCACCGCCAGGTACTTTCTATGCAAATGTGCCTCACATTTGCCTCTGTCTCTCCGTGTACATGTGCTCGTCCTTATTTAACCCTTTTTTTGTTGTTTGCTTCGGTATCCCAAATATTTATGGCTGCCGGCGCTAGGCATATGTTTGGCTCCCGGCAGCGTCGTTCGGCAATTTATTTAACCTTCAAATGTTGTTAGCTGCCTGCTGCGTGTGTCACAAAGGTGTTGTCGCCTAAATGTATGGCCCATGCCCCCGTGTCCGTGCGTGCGTGTGTTTGTGTGTTGTATTAAACGGATTTGTTTGCCTGAAATTTGCGTAGATTTGCTGCACATTATTTGTAGCCTTGCGGCTGCCTGTGTTTATTTGTCTGCCAATTTAGTTTTGCGGTGCGAACCAATGTCAGCCTCTAAAATGGTTTTGTGGTTGCTAAACAATTCAATAAAGATAGTGACTGGTATGTTTTTAAACAGATTAGATAATACAAGCTAACTGGTATACAAATAATTCGTAGTTTGATTATTTTGACGATATATTTCTATATATATATATTGCAGACATTTAAAGGAAGGCATGTATATTTGGTGTCATATAAACCACAATTTTTATAATTATTTCTTAAATAACTAATGTTAGTAAAATAAATTATAGGAAATTCTGTTTCGCTAGGAATCAAGTAAAAAGTAAGTACAAATTATTCTAAGTCCGCTTTAAGTCAATTTTATAATAAGGCCAGACAATACTTATAGGATAACCAAGCAAGAGACGTACTTCACATTTTTTAAGAAAAGAATTCCTCATAAGTGTAGAACTGAGACGCTTTTTAATCAACTCAAGTTTCCGTTGGATACCTCAGTGCTTAAGTGCCGTGTTCTTTGGAAACTACAATTTCTTTGTGTGTTTTTGTTTTATTTTTGTGGCTCTGTCATTTTTATTTACAATAAATTGTACAAAACGGCCAGCGAGTGACCAAACTGGCCGAACAATAAAAGCGGCGGCATTAATCTTCTCTTGCAGGCAGATGGCAAGACGCAATGAGGGGGAAGCGAGATGCGCCCTTTTGTTGCTCAACTGCTTGCCAATTTCCGGTTGCAATGCTGTGCATTTCCGGGTGAGCCTGCCTTCCCTCTGCCGTTCGGGGACCCAATGGCCGCGGCGATGAAATTGCTTAAATGTAAATAAATCAGTGGTAAGAAAATTTCGGTGGTCAGCTCGGACTGGTCGCACGTCGCACGTCGCACGTCGCACGTCGCGGTCGTTGTCGTTGTCGTTTCTGCTGCAAGTGTCGGCTTATAAATCAGCCAGCTGCAGTGCGCTGCACAAAATGGCTGACAGACAGGCAGACAATGGGACCGTGGTACAGACAGACCTTCCACAGACAGTGGCATTAACGGCGGCTTAAGTGTGCGAGCGCCAAAAAAAAAGAGATATATATATATAAGTCCCTTAATTGCTTGGCGTTTATTTAATTTCCACACACTTTGAAGCCATTTTATTAGCTCGAGCGCCGCATAAATCACACGGGCAGCGAGCAAGACCGAAAGTCGTTTGTCATTTTTAATAATCAATTAAAAGCAAATGTTGCATAAATACATGAAAACTTCACTCTAACCAATTACAAATTGCAAACGAACTCTGTTTGCCATTTATCATCGTTAGATGCAGCAAAGGCAGCAACGACCGAGACAGACAAATTCGGCTAATAACAATCAAGTCCAAAGATGCAACTGCTCCGAATGGTGGTCGCTAAAATCCCAATTGCACTTCTCTAACGGAAGCTCGACTTGAACTAAGTGCAACATGGGTTAAGTTATGCATTTGACGGGTGTGGGAGTCATATAATTTTACCCTGTAAAAATAAAAATCAGTGAAGAAGTTTGCAGATGAAGCAGAAAGGGAAGTGCTGGTGGAGAAGAATTCAAAATACGAAGGAGTTCATGATCTTATCATTTGATAACTCTGCTAAATTATAAATGACACGAAGGTATTGCTTATGTGAGTTTTATGCAGTTAAATTTTGAGAGACGTCTTAACTCTTGTTTTTAATTCAAAAGTTCCCTAACATGATATATAATATTCACGACTTTTGAAATACTACGTTCGGGCTTTAACAAAATAAAACAAAGAAAAAAACCGCGTGACGTGAATTTCAAAAGCAAAGCAATGTCAATCTTGACTGTTATTATTATAAAAACAATAATTTAATATTTATGGAAGTATTTAGAATAAAATTACCAATTCTAAACTTTCGTCAATTGGCATTCAAGCAAATTTAACATATTTTTGTTAAAAAAATGTTGTAGACAAAAAATCGATTCGTTCGTAAAATAAACCTTTTTGATGATTTTTTGGAATATTTCCGTCAAATAATGTCCGATTTTGGAATTTTATACAATTTTTGACTCGTAAGGATCAGTTCTATCGATTGTCATCAAAAATTGGAAATCCAAAATTATGACTTAAATCGACAAAATGGCAAGGGGTTACATCACGTTTTTTTTCAAAATCGAGGTCGGTGCGAAAGTCGAAACATTTTCGATGATTTTTTTTAATATCTCGGGTAATAGCTCCGGGCGGAGATATGACGTTCCAAAACGACATAACTCCGCGACGAAAATCGATATTAATATCCCGTTTTATGGACAATTTTGGTAAATAATAAGAGCTAGAGTCCCCAAACTTGACATATAGCTTCTAAAATAGAATATATATATGCGTTTGATGTTGGAAGAAGAGGGTTCAGGGTATCGCCTAGTCGGGAGCTCCCGAGTAGAACCTCTTAGTTGTTTTACTCTATGTGTGTGTGCTGGGTCATAAAACCTGAATAAAAATCCCATTGCAATTAATTTAAAATATTTATTTATGGTTTGATCAACAATTGAAAGGCTATTTGTGTATAGTCAGGTGCGCTTAGAGCGCGTCAGGTTTTATATAAATATAAATACAAATAAACGAAACCCTTATACTCAACATTTGGCTCGTTTCATTGCCGCTTGATTGATGACCCCTGTGGCGGCTGCCCAACAACAATTATAACAATAGCAACAGCATTAACAACAGCGAGTCGAAGCAGCAGCAGCATAAGCAGCATTTTAATTTATAATTTATGTTGCGAATTTTGATTAATTGATTTCTATTTGGCGTGTTACATTCCATGCCTGTTTCAGGGCCTGGGCTTGGGCCTGGGCCCCTGCCTATGGCTGTTATATCCTCTCTGTGGTTTTGCCTTTTGACATGTGCCCAAAATTAATTTGATGCTGTTACCTGGTGCCTTTTGAGGCGTAAGTGCAGGTATTCACAGCGTGCCAAATATTTGCATCTGTCTTGTCTCTGTGTGTTTGTGTGCCTGTATGTTTAGGTATTCCTGTGTTATACTTACCTTTTGGCATATCTTCAAATCTACACAGACTTCAGTCAAGCTGCGCCGTCAAAATTTACAAGTCATCGACGCTGCGGTCGAAATTTGCATAATTTGCTTTCCGTGTAGGCCCAGCCATAAATGATGTCTGTGATCTGGGCCAGCCTCGACTGTGTGGACAGGAAACTCAACCTGTCCACCTGCCTGCTTGCCTGGTTGCCTGCCAGACACTATCATTATCCCTCTGTTTAGTTGAGTCCATGTCTGTTTGCACTGCTTAAGCGAAAATGGTGTTAAATGCTTTCGCATACAAAATTTACATGGCTGACAATTTTTGAACGATGTATCGACAACGTTGTCGTTGTCGTTGTACTTGCTCTCATTGTTGCAGTTGTTGTTGTTACTGTTGTGGTCGTGGCTCTCAGCTTGACTTCCGTTTCCGTGTGTTTGTGCACGCGCCTTGTCAATATTTGGCGTTTGCTACAAGGCACACGCCAAACACATGACACACCCAATGAGCAGTGGGACAGCCACGCCCATTGGGCCAGTGTTGCCACCGCCCACAGTTAGCAAAATGTTTGGTTACATCAAATTGCAGCATTTTGCTGATGCTGCTCCGAAATGTTTACCATCGGCAGCTGCGTTGAGATCTGGCCACTGACCCCAAAAAAGAGTTGGGCACAAAAAACGGATTGCAGAATGCAATAAAATTTCAAAGATAGTTATTAATAATACACTTTATTAAATTTAATTTATTAACTATTTTTAAATTTATAAATTTCAGCTTAATTCTAAATACATTTTTCTCAAGTTTTTTTTTTATATTTTTCAGTTAAATATTTTACATGCAGTTTCTTAAAATTAGATCAATTAATTAGTTATTTCTCATTTATTGTTTGTATTTGTTTTTTTTTTTTAAGTTATTAGTTAGAGTTGAGTTTTCTTTTTTAAATGTTTAATTTTCTTTCTGCTACCAAGATTGGTTTTTCCTTCGTTTTTTTACGTATAAATGCAAACGTTGCGTTGCTAAATTGAATTATTTTCTGTTTAGTTAACCATTTATTATTAAGTTCACTTAATTTAGCTTGTTTTTAAATTCTTTATGCCTTTTGTTAGACGTTAGACGAGTATGTAAACAAATTGTCTTTAATTACATTTTCTGCTATGCTAAATGGGCCTTAGGACTAGATGAATTTGATTTATATGTGTGTATGTATGTGTAATAAATTGTATTTATGTCGTAAGAACAAGCTAAATGTTAAATGTCTCTGGGGGTTTTGCTTACTCCTCAACATAAACTAATAACAATCATGAATTTGTTTTCACTTAGCTAAAAGTTGTCTAGATTTTGGCGCTTAAAGCTGTTATTTAAAAATATATTAACAATTCAGTGTTCACATCGTACATCTAAGTTAATTATAATACATTTTTATGTTTTTTCTCTAAATATTATTATTCAATTTTTACACGGGCGCTTAAACCTAATGGAATTTTTTTTAGTTTTCTCTCTGTTTCCTTCTTCTTTGAGTTTGGCTTTTCGCTCGCATAAACCTAACATTTTACATGCATATTTATTGTTATAATATTTATCTTACATTATTTGGCGCTTCTTCTCTTTTTTTTATTTTTTTTTTGCTGCATTAAAAAGTGCTACCCAATCGCTCAAAAAATTGAATCCACTCCCACACTAAATGCTTTGCCGGCAGTTTGATTGAAGATTCTAACTTTTTCCACGCACATCACATAACTTATAGTCAGTTTATTTTTACTAAGTGCTCTCACTATTCTGCCACCATTGCACATCTTCACTTTTTGATTTGATTTGTATCTAGCTTAGATCATCTGCTGCTCAGCGATATTTCAACGTCAAAATCGCGTACCCGTTCCATGATTGCGATCCTGGCTAATGAGCATCTCGTCGCCGTTCAATTGATGATGCATCTCCTCTGGCACGGTCTTTAAAAGTTGCGGCTTGGCCTAGCATAAAAATGAGTGGAAAGTAAAAGTGTTATGAATAATCGTAATATTTTTTATTACTACTAAACCTAAGCATCGGTAAATAATATCTATAATATCAACATTACTTAGATTATGCGCTATTCTTAATAGGGTATTGTAATTGTATTTGTGAAATTACTAATCCAGACACAATGGAAAGTGGAAAGCAATAAAAACAGATAGCAAAGTGGCGTGGGCCTTGGTCGAAAACATAAATAAACGTAAAGAGCTATGCTTTAAAATTAACGAGGCGCGCATTATTTGAGTACCCGCAGCTATTAAGAATCCACATTCCCCGCATTCGTCGCATTGGTCGTGCACTGCGCGAAAAGTAGCAGGGTAGACTGGGATAACTGGGCGTATGCGTGCTATTTGATTTCGTTCAGCGTACCGCTGTGCCAAATCCAACCATTTGTTGGTCGCCAGCTCCCCAGGCAACACCGCAACAGTCACATTCAGATACCAGATCCAGTAGCAGTCCTAGACCCAAGCCCGCGTGCTCGTTGTTCTGGTTTTGGTCCTGTGTTTTTTGGTTGGCTTTTGCGCGCCTCGCTGCCTTTTGGTCTGCATTTTTCAAAAACTCCCGGGACACACACACACACATAGACAACAACAACTCACTCAGCAGTAAAGAAAAGGCAATGGTTGAAAAAAAAATGTACATTGTAAATTCCGTTGCTGTTGTTGGTCCTTTTTTGCGGGCTATAATAATTGCAATCATTAGAGTCAAAAGTTGCCACACCGCAGTGTCCTTAAGCGTGAAACTGTTGCAAAAAAGTCGGCTATGCTGTGTATATGAAAGACAGAGACAGACATACCAAGTTCGTATGATGCGAAATTCAGTAAGAAGCCCGGACAATGCAATGGCGGGAATGCCTGCGCCTGCAGCAGTCGCTAGGACGAACGCAATGCGCGACGCCAAGTGTACATATAATGGCATATTTATAGAGCAAAAGCCAGGGACAATGAGCATGAGAGAGACAACGAGACAAAAAAGGGATAGGGTATGAGCGAGAGCAGGCGGCAACTATTCTCCTGCTTTTTGTATTACATTTACTGCGGCTGTCATTTTTGTGCACTCTCTGAGGTCATTTACCGCTTTGAACTTTTCCCGTTGAATTTGGGCTTAAAATTTAAGCTGTCAAGGATCAAGTGGTCCTCGCAAAGGTTGAAGCAGTCAAGCTAAAACTTGCTATACGAAAAGACATGATTTAATGCGATAAACTACTTTTCGTTTTGCCAATTAAGTGAGAAGTGTGTTTGTGTGACCATAAAACAAGGCTGTGAGACGGATTTGAATCAAGCACGAATTGTAATTACAAAAAATTTGTTTTCATAAATTATAAGCTTTTGATATTGCGCAAACGTAGTTTCAGTAAGTAAGAAAAATTCACCTATTTAAATAAAAAATAATAAAAAAATGTGTTAATTGCGTAAATGCAATGACTGGAACCCAAACTAGCCTTAAAAACCGAGCCTTAAGCCGTGAACCGAAGCATCGAAAAATTTTTAGGGCCTCCAAGATCTTTGGCGTTAAGGATAGGAATAATTACGAGTAGGAGTACGTGGCAGCAACGGTTTGAGTTTATACTCATTCTTATGAATGTAGGAGCAAAATCACATTTGAAAAGCCTAATTAACAAACAACACATTTAGTTGTTCATATTTTTGTTGCTGTGCTTTTTTTCTTAACGCCTCAGGCTGGGTAGGCGGCACACAGCGCATATTACTCAGCAATCCCCTGAGCAGTTATCAGACCAACCGCAAAAATTCATTTTCTGCCCCAGTGGCTCCAATTTATGAAAAGGAACAAAAGATTTTTTGGCATGGGAGATAGATAAATGTTTGCAACCCCCAAAAAGCCACTTTGCATATTGATGCTTTCAACGTTTTGGACATTAAGCGACTTCCTTGACTGGCTGCTATCAACAAGCAGCCAGGAGTCGCTGCCCAGCAGCTGCCCAACCGGGACTAGAACTACATCAAACAGACACTTACCACATCGCTACCATAAAGGCTCATGCCAACGCCGACGCCAACGATGCTTCCGTTTCCGCCAGCGCCGTTGGCCGCTGCCTGCTGCTGAACGACTGGCCCATTGCCGGGCGCTGCTGCTGAGGATGTGGCAACCAGACCCATGCACGTCACCGGCTGCAGCAGCCCATCTCCAGTAGCGACCACGCTGTGCGCAAAAATGGGTGGCGGTGGCGTGGGCGAAAAGGTGGCCAATTGTGATGGATGTGACATGGTGACACCGGTGATGGTGCTGTTCGTTCCAAACATGGGACTCGTTGAGTACATAGGATGGTGTGCCAGATCGATCTATATGTATTTGGGTTAAAGAGCATAAATGAGCGAGAAAGAAAGGAGATGAGAAAGAGAGAGAGAGAGAGAGAGAGAGAGAGTGAGAGAGAAGCGTGTGTTTTGTATTTGTTTTTAATGTAGCACAGCGGGATAAACAATTTTTCAAATTTTACAAGAAAACTTTTGTAATAATTTTAATATAATCAATTAAACTTTACAAAAAAAGAACCCCGCAAAACTCTTTAGCTCACAATTATTTAAGCTTGTAGATTTATAAATATTTACTGAGTAACCCTCGTTGTCCGTGTGTATGCCGCTAATTACAGTTTACTTACACACTCAAATTAATATATGTATGCATGTACATTAAATATGTACACCTGGCGGTGCCTTGTGTACGCATGTGTGGCTGCCCCGTGCCACATGGTTGGCACTGCCAACACCGTGCCAGGCTCTTTTGTTTTTGTTATTGTGATTGTTGTTGATGTTGGTTTTTGTTATTGTTGTTTCTAGTTATCATTGCTGCGTTTGGCGTTCGCTTCCCATTTGCTGGCTACAATAATAGCCCGCTTTGGGAGGATTTGATAGTGTAAGTGTAAGTGTGAGTGTGAGTGTTAGTGTTAGTGTTAGTTAGCCAAATGTTTGTGCGTGGCATATTAACGCTTATCCACGTGCGAATGTGCATATGTGTGTGCGCCAGTAAACAAATGTATGGTCAGAATTTATGCTATTGCCTAATGCCCAAACGTGCTTTTAATGAAATTAGTTTCCAACATAAAATAAATTCAAATCGCATGGCATAGATCGCAGTCTAAGACCCAGACTTATCTTGATGAAAGATAAATAAATAAAGCATGTGTTCCCATATTTCTAACGATGGCTCACGTCGCTTTTATTTATGTCCACAAAAAAAAAAATGAAAAAACAGTCATATTAAACACGCATGCACCAACTTTAACAGATTACCAAAACTTTTTGGTGTTATTACTTTATTTCAAAGGCATAATAAGCCTCGTATACGACAGACACAGTCAAGTTATTGTCAAAAACCAAACATTCTTTATTTTAGTTATACAAGCTAAGCTAAATCGAATTATCGATCGATTTATTGATCGAAAACATTAAAATGCAATTTCGCTGTCATAAGTATTTCTTTTGTTCGATACGAAAGTCAAAGCTGATTAAATTATTTGTTTTTGTCTCCCCTTCTGCCAACTAGTTAAGACCCCAATGTCCCAACACACACATTGTAAAAACTCTGCCGCAAAGCGCAGTTTGAAAACTTTTAAAACAAACAACATCAGCAACAAGAACAAGTACAACAACAGAAATAACTACAAAAGCTGTAGCTGAAGCTGTACAAAGCACATACATATATAATCGAATTAAAATAATTGCCATAAAAATAAAACAGAGAACTAAAATCGACGGCAAACATTTCGCCTGCTGGTCAGAGAAATGTGTCGTGTACAACTTTCCGATAAATGACAATAAAGCCATACAATGTCATTAGGTGAATGGTTTGGCCTCGACTGCTCCCTTGCTGCTGCCATTCAATGTGTTTGTTGTTTCTGTAGTTGTGCTTGTAGTTGCTGTGTTGTTCCCCATAAAAGTTGTTTGCAGTGTGCACATTGAAAATATTTCACACACACAAACAAGCACCCATACAAAATTGAGCTTAAGTGCATTTTGAAAGCAGCCTGCCCTGGTGCTGAGCCCCCAAAAACATCCATTCACAACTACAAATGCCACAGGACACAACATGAACATAACTCAAGTCATTACAATAATTGTTGAAATCAAAGCAGGCCACAGACAAAGCACCAACAGGAGCAGGCACCACTCACTGGCCAGCAAAATCGGTACATAAACTTGTCTAAATTTGAAGCCAACCTACATGCCAGATGGAGTACACGCACCGACTCACCTCAAGTAAAGTTGTAATTTGTGTGTTCACAGCAAAATAGTTTCTGTCAGTCGATAAAGTTTATTTTCTGATATAATTATTGAAAACTAGCAGGAAAATATTTATAGAACACAGTTTATTGTTTTTTTGTTTGTTTAATGAATCAATATGGCATCTTTTTTCTGATAATGGAATTGTTGTTTCTAAAAATTGTATTTTAATTTCTTAAAATGTATTTTTACTTAATTTATTCTATCTATGTATATCTATCTTATCGAGCAATTTGCTAACGTTATGTTCTTTTTGTTAGCGTATTCGGACTTCAATATGCCTTAACTAGATTTAGTTGCCTTCTCTGTTCACCCAGTATACACATTACGTATACGTCTTGTTGGGTGACAAATGCATATTCAGTTCGAAGTGCTGCACCGGCTTGATTCAGTTTCGCACACACACACAGACTCGCACTCACAAATATATGTACATATATCAAATCATATTGCAGCTGCATCAAATTGTCTTCAATTCTGTTCCTGTTACCCGGCGTATGCGTAATTTCGAGCATATTTTTCGTCAATGGATGACAAATATTTGTGTGGAATGCATTGCATACTTTTTGGTGCCAGCTGTGAGTTTATTGATTTGCCAGCTGAAACTGGAAGTAACTGTGTGTGTTTGTTAGCCTGGTTTCAGGATGTGGTGCCAGCAATTGATTTTGCACCAGCTCTTGAGAAGCAATTAAAAATCTTATGGCAGCTGTAATGAGTTATGTGTGGTAAGCTGAGGCAGCCATAAATAAAGTGCAACACATCACGTAAATGCAATAACAAACAAATTTCAAATTTATTAACGCATAATACAAAAAAGAAAATAATAATAAATTAACAATGCATTGAACTAAACAAAACTACTAAGGTAACACTTGCGCTTCAGACACGCGTCGCATAGCCCTGCATGTATAGACCGCCAGACCCACCCACATTATCGACCACAGCGCCAGCCACGTAGCTGCTGCCCGACGCCGTGGCCGCCTGTAAGTCCGCCAAAATTTCATCATCCATCATAACATTTACCTGCGAGTAGATGTTCGGCTCGGCACGCTTCAGCTCCGTCTGCCTGGGTCGTCCCAAGGTGGCGCTGCAATAGGGCGTCAAGCGTTGGACACTGCCAACGCCGACGGCGTTGCCCACCAGTGGGGCAGCCAGCTCGCTATAGCTGAGCTCAGTCTGTGCAGGAAAATCAGAGAGAAAGAGAGATAGCAAAAGAGTGAGAGAGGGAAAGAGTGATGAGACTATGAATATGTTGAGTCAATCGCTTTCAGTTTGCCCGGCAGTTGCATAATTGTCAAGTGTAAAGTTTGCCAGGATGAGGATAAGCCGGAGCGCAGCACTATTTAAGCCGCATGTGCCAGCGCACACAAGTTCGATAATGTGTGCGCATTTTAAAGTAATTAAAATTGTATATTTGGACATTTAACTGATTAATTTCTTAGAATAGGAGCAATCCCTACTGATAAAAATATTGATAACAGCTATCAATGCCGGGAATGCAATGACAACTTTCATTTATTGAAATTTTGTTGTTTTAGGCACTTTAATAATTGATGTCTGTTGAGGATTGAATTAGTCATCACATATGTTACCGATAATAGCTTATGAGCTGAGCAGAAACTCGATAAAATTTTAATAATATAACTTCAATAATATGTTCACTTGGTCTTATTGACCTCCATTTGGAATTCGATCAATAATTTCGTTTGCGATATATGCTATGGATAACATAATTCGATTGCAAAATTTTTCTCATAATAAAGGTTGTCCGAAAAATGGCTTAACGAGCTGTAGCTGATCGCGTATTTATTGCATATATGCATTTGATTAATTATGATGTTAGTGATACTATTAATTAAGTTCAGCAGAGAATTTCCAATTGTAGAAATGTCTGACTTCAATTACCAGCCATAAATCAACAAGGTGTTGTTGACCGTCGCCATTTGTTTCTAAAAATTATTTATCATCCTTAAAATCTGTCAGAAATTCCCGAGAATCTTTTCTGAGCTCTGTTTTTCACACCTTACCAATTTTTTGTTGAAATGCCTTAAAAAGCTGGTTGGGTTTTTATTTGTTTTTCTGTTGTATTTGCTATTTCCACGCCCACGCCCGCTGCTGTTGCAAAATACTCACATGCAACGCCTGTTTGTAATGTGTCTGGCTGTGTGCCCCCAATAGCTGGCTCACCATCCCGCCCACCGTCAGCTCAGTCCTGCAGCCACTTCCAGTTAGCATCTGCAGCACCGAGTCGAGCACAGCGCACACTTGCCGTTTATTGCATTTTGAGTTTGCAGGCTAACAACAACAAAAGCAACAACATTCATATACACAAGCAAATAAACACACACACACTCACTCATACATACACACACACGTACACACAGTTGGATGAAAAAGGCGCGCATCCTTTGCCGGCTTTGCTCCTTAGCAATGCTGCTGGTCGTCTGGACGCTTGTCCGCCTGCAACTTATTTTTATTAAATTCGCAAATGGGAAATTTATATTGCTACAGCTGCTGCGGCTGCTGCTCGCTGGGCGTTTAGCTGCTTGTCCTTGTTGTTGCTAGTGGGCGTGGCATACACACTCACACACACACACACATACACAGCAAATTTCTACTTAAATGATTTTCAAATTATGTTGGTTTTGCTGCAGCTACACCAGCCACGCCCCAGCTCGTTGCTTTCTATTTATCTGCGCGACCTTCACCGATTTTGTCTGCGAGTGTTTCGGGGCGGATTTTCGCTTGCATTTTAGCCAAACGATAAAATATATTCTTGTTGTAGGTGTTGCCCATGAAATTGCATAGAAGCAGCTAAAGATTTAGTATGAATTTTGGGTGTCGATTTTTACGGCTGGTTCCGTAACTAGCTATAAATCCAAACAAGAAAATACTATTAATTTAATTGAAAGACGTATTTTAAGGCATACGATCATCGACGATATTCGAGACGGGTATAAGAATATTCCACAAGAAAGTATAAAAAATTGGTGAAAAATAATTTCGAGCGTACTGGATAGAGAGGGCATGAGCCGTCTAGCTAATTTTTCAAACACTTTCTCCTGCAGGGACAATCAGATGAACATCAAGAATACTGCGTAAAACATGAACACTCTTTTTGATTTTATGAGCAGAATATAAACATTTTAAAAATATTTGAAAAACATGAGAAAAGTATTTAAATATATTATTTTAACTGCTTTTTCTTGACAGCTTACAGTAAAGATGCAACTCTTTGATTGCAGCGAAAACGAACCCTGTGTCTTGTATCAGCTTGTCTGGCTGTGCGGAAAGCTGCATCCAGGCGCCCATCAATTGTGGCTTAAATAATGAACTGTTTGCTCGCCATAAAAACCACTTAACCCAAAATATGCACAAAACAACAAGAACAACAACAACGTGGTGGCACACGACGAGTCTCCACTTGGATGGGGATACTCGTATAATTCGTGTAGTTTCGACTGCTTGGCAAGCAGGTGGGTCCATTTGTGGCCACTAGTTGGCCACCTGGCCCGGCTATAAATTAAGATGCCTGCCAACGCGACCATATTGTAAAAGGTTAAATGTTTGACTGCCGGCTAAGTGCGGATTAGGGCTCAGCTGGGCATAACTCACCTTCTGTTGCTGCTGTTGCTGCTGCTGCTGCTGCTGGTGTTGCTGCTGTTGATTGGCATAAGCGCCCATTTTGCTAACGGGTATAAGCGTATTATATTGTATATACTGGCCATGGGCTGTGGGCGGGCCAGACTTCTTATCGACTACCGCATACGTGGGGATAATGTGATCGTAGGTGCTGGAGGTAATCACGGCATTCTGTTCGGCCAACGCAGCCGTAGCATAGGCACGATTGTGGCCCTTTGTTGTCCACTCATCGTCCACATCATGTCCATCTGGAAAATAGTGCACAGCAGTTACTTGGGAACCAGCCAGTTGTCAGTTGTCAAGGGCAGCAGTAAAATAGAATACGATAGCTCACCTTGTGGTATTATGTCCGGATTCTTATCAATGCTATCCAGGCTGCTCGTCACGTGACACGTCTCCCGGCCAATGCGATGCATATCCTGCACTGATTGGCCCCCATTGTGCGCTAGTGTGCCGATGCCCAGGCTGCCATTGTTGTTGCTGCCAAGGATGCCGAGGTTACCGTTGCCGTTGGCTGTGCTGCTGCCCCCGTTGCCCGGATGCGAGTAATTATTGCGATCGCGTCCCGACGAGCCGCGCACACGCACCACGACGACTATGATGACTGCGACCAGAAATACGCTGCCCACAATACCAGCCAGTATGCCAAGGAATGGCCGGATGTCCTCGATGACGTGCCCATAGGCAGGCGATTGGTCTGTGTGATACGAGTAGGAGAGGATGTGGAAAAGTAGAAAGAGAAAAATGGAAAAGAGAAATTTGGCAGGATAAGCGCGTGCTACAATAATTTTACGAGAATGCATTGCATATATTTTCTGCCTGTCTTTATTCTCCTATATTTTTTTTACCCCCCTCACCTAGTCCCACCCATTCTTCCCCCTTTGTTCTGTTGCTTTTTTCCTTGCATTGTTTTATGAGCTGCTAACTACGTTCCGTTGTCGTTCCCGGTCCCGGTCTCAGTGCCGGTCCCAGTCCCGGTCCCAGTCCCGGTCCTGGTCTTGCTGCCGTCCTCATTGTTGTTGTTTTCGCTGTCGGTCCCGGTTCCTGCCGCACGTGCTTGGAATTTAGTGCCGCTTTAATGAGCTGCATGTGTGTTGGTGGCATTTGTGTGTGTATGTGTGTCCAGAACGTGTGTGGTCCGTTGTAAGCCGCTCAGTGTTAAGGTTGCTAATTTTTGTCTCAGCCGCCGGCGGCATGTCGAGCATTTTTAGTAGCCAAAGCTAAACCCAAAGTCTAAAACAGTTGTTCGAGAAATTCATCCGGATTTATTATGCGGACTTCGTTAGGCAAATTTAAAGAGAAAATTATTCAAATCGTATGCAAAATAAGTGAAAAATTGAAAAATTCAATAAATGTTAAATGGAAAAAATATATAGAAATTTATTGAAATAAAAATGAGAAGCCACAAATAAAAATCAATTTAAAGTAAACTAAATATTTAAATAAAAATACAAAATAAGTCAAAGGAAAATACTAAAGGCAAAGTATAACGATAAGATAATAAGAAAAATATATTGTCGGTAAAGTTAAAAGTTGATATTTTGAAAATAATCGTTATAGAATTTGCTATACAATTAACTAAAATTATACAATTAACAAACAAAGTATAAACACAAAAATAAATTCAAAAGAAGAGAAAATAAAATCAAGTAAATGCTTAAATAAAAAACAAATATGTGCATGAAATTTGAATGGAAATTGGTACTCGATGCACAGAATAAAGGATTAAATGAAAATCTTAAGCTCAAAGTAGCCACTACCTTCATCGTACGCCCCTCTGCCCACGCCCACAAACTTATCATCTTCGCAAGCACAATCACTTGTTGTTGGCTTTGATGTACTGGTAGTGATTGCTGCTGTTGCTGTTGCTGTTGGGCCATAAGCAGGCTTAAGAGCTTGATAGGACTTGGTAAATGTTATTTTAACTGAAAGCATGCAACCAAAGCGTAAGAAAGAAATGTTAGAGAAAGCAAAGAACTTAAAGCATATTAAAAGACAAATCAAACCGTCAGGCTCAGGGAGTCATGAGTAACTGTAACTGCATTCCATGGTGCAAGACCAGCGTCAATTAATTTGTAGGCAACGACTGCCTGAACGGCCCCGGCCAGGCAGGACAGGCTGGACAGACCAGGACATGCATGAAATTGCAAACCCATTTGCCTCTTCATACGCACCCGCAGTCCATTTGGGCTCTTTGCAATACCCTGGCTGACAACTCACCCGTTTGCTTCTCCGGATCCTTCAGTGTGTAGACCTGCAATATGGTCGCATTGCTGCGTCCCTTGCTGTTGTGCGCTATGAGGAAGACATTGTAGCCCATGCCGGGCACTAGACCGCTCACCTCAAAGTACGGCTTCCTGTCGTCCGTGTCCCATGTAATGCGCGTCGAATCGATATTTGAATGTCCCATGCAAAAACCACAAAAAGAAACGAGAACGATAAATGAGCATTGCAAGAGAACTACTGCAGCACTGCTTCGGCTGAAGGATTGGCTCAGAACTTTGTGTCCTGTGTCCATGCGTTTCCCACGCCTCGTTGAGTCTTGTTGTGTAATGCAAAAGTCACACGGCGTGTGATTCAGATTGCCGTCTACTCACTTTGATTTGTAAATTTTTGGAAAGCGCGTCGTTCCATTCACATAAACTTCCATGATAAAGTCCTGCTGCAGGCCCCCATCAAAGCCCTCAATGCATTCGATTTGAAAGCCCGACGATGTCTGATTGAGCAGCGTGCAGTTTACCAACGGATCCGGTTCGCCTGTTCAAGCACAAAATTCATGTTTTTTTTATTTTATTGTTATTCTGCATTGCCCTGGCTAAAGTAGTTGCTCAGCAGTCAAGCAACAAATTGCTAAGGTTCTACGTATGGCGTGACTGATTTGCACTTGCTGTATCTGCACTACACTACACTACATAAATTGTGAGCTCAGAATCAATAAGCCACTATTCGAGCTAACAACAACAGCATTTGGCTAATCCAGCAGAGCACCGCAAGTGCCAAAGTCATCAACAAATCAGTACAGTGAGCTAACTGTGACTCAAACTAAACATAAGCAAAAACGCTAACGCCAAAAGGGAGAACGTTAAGAACGAACAACTATATACACTACCACAATCTAAGGGCGGACAATTTTATTACCATATATCAGATGATGGAGTCATTAAGGTGTTCATTCAATTGGAAGTCGTAAACTTTTATAAGTTGCATAGAGCATTTCACTGAGTCTTAAGAATTTATTAACTTAAAGAACTTTCTCGTCGAAGAACGCTCATTTTTATATTGGTTATGATCTCAATAGTAAATGAAAGCAATTGGAAGATAACTCAAAACCATTTGCTACCTTCATTGATAGTTTTCACAGTGGCCATTAGGTTTATCTCAGTTTTGTTAAACTGTTCATTAACAAAAGCAAATAATTGCCTAAAATGCATTCTTTTAGAATTACATTTGATTAAAGCCTTGTTTATTTTCTGATTAATTAAATATAAAGAAACTCTAAGAAATATAAAATGACATTCCCATGTCTCCAACATGTATTCCCGAAGCAGTCATATAACCCTGACTACCAAGCGCTACACTTTCCTAAGCGGTTGCTGGCCGCTGTCCGGAAATGAGACCGAAGGGACAAACACGTGGGCCACACGCAGGTGGCCCAAGCACGTCAGTTGTCTCCTTTTCTGTATGTTTTGGTTGGTACTCACCTGCTGGCGTTATTGTGTACACGCAGGGTTCGCTTTGATCGCCAATTTCGTTGCTGGCCCAGCACAGAAGCGTGCCGTAGTCCTGCGAATGCAAAAGAGGAAGCCACAGTGAGCCAAGTGCGTGTGTGTGTGTGTAAGTATGTGGATGTGTGTCTGAATGGGTATGTGCAACCGCACATGTGGGGCCTGGCATGAGTGACAATGGGGAACGGTATTTCGTTGGCTTAATTTATGCATGCTATGCGGCGTTGGCGACACACCTTTTCGGCCTTAATTGAAAATTCAAAACCGCAATTCGTTTGGAAAATTATGTACCGCCCATTCGAGGAGGCCATGGACTGATTTATATGGCCCGAGTGCGAGAATACTGTGAAATGCTTGGGCTGCCCGCGAGTACTTACGTTCTCCACCATGGGCGTGTAGTGGGCGACGCTGCGTCCACGGTCCACGGCAACCAGCGATGCGGGTATATCAGCCGTCTCGCCTTGTGTTGCATTGAATTTCCAGATGTATGTTGCATCCGCGGGATTGGCATCGATTTCGCATGCAACTTTGACGGTCTCATGACGGCCCGAACTGTAAGTGGTACGTTGCCCGGCACGGCACACAGGCGCAACTGGCAAAAAGGAAAAGAAGAAGAACAAGTATAAGAAGAAGAATGCGGCAGAGCATGAATACGTGTGTGCAAATTGGCAAGGCATTTGCATAATTAAAGCAAAACATTGCGAAACTTGAGTTTAATTTGTGTTTAAATGGCACAGCCAACACTGTCCAACAAAAGCACTCGTTCGCCTCGCTCTGCTCAATTTGCCGTGCAGCAATTGAAACAGACAATGTGCAACTGGCAGCTAGCAGTTGGAAATTGGCAACTTCTTATAAAGTCTTAACTGTGCTGTTCTATATTCTCATACATATAGAAACCATCATACGACTGCAGCTGCAGCTGCAGCTGCAGCAGTTACTGTCGCTATTCATTTGCGCCTAGAAGCAGGCAATGGAAATTTTCAAAGGCAACCAATTTTGTTGTTATTTAATATTTATTTAGAAATTGTTGTGCTGTCTATGGAGTAACTATTGTTGTTCGTGTTTTTTATTAGCATCTATTTATGTCAATGGACGTCAGTTGAATAGAGCTCGTGCAACATGTTGCACATTAATTAGTTGCAAGGCTAATGAAAGCTGATGGCTGGTGCTTTGTATCTTGTTTATTGTTTTGACTTGTCAGTGTTCGGTTTTGTCAGTCTTCATTAGCTGTTATCCTGTTCAATAAGTTTGTAATTGTATCTCTCGAAATATAATAAACTTAAATTTGGTAGCTTATACTTATTATTTGCCTGTTATGCTGGAAAGTATTTAAATATTTGTGTATTAGTACTTTCGACTACTCACAGCGGATATCCAACTGGACGGGATTGCTTTCGCCATCGCCTTCCCGATTGCTGCCAATGCAGGTATAGATGCCAGTCCTGGCACGGCTCGCATTCTGTAGCACAAGGCTCTGGTTGGCCACGACGATGCCCTCGGCGGGATTATTCGCCAGTTCCTCGCCCTGCAATATAATGGGTGGAGGGAGTTACGAGTCGGTTAAAATGGAAAACTCGCCGGGAACGTTACATTTTCGATATGTTCCATAATTTATTGCGTTAAATTCAATTTGGCGATGACTGTGCATTGAAATAAATTTAATTTTAGGCTAATAACACTTTCATGTTGCCCGACAAATACGACCCGCGGCATGATGGAAGGCCCTATGTACCGACTGGGGGCGTGGCTGTATAATTTAGGGCCCTGGCTGCATAAATTGTTAAGTGCTTTTACAGCTAAATAATTCAATAATAAATTGTATAAATTTCTATATGCCGCAATGCGTGTGGATGTGGGTGTGAGTGGATTTTTTCCGTGTGCCCGTTAGCCCTAAAATATGCAACAATTATGTGGCGGAGTGTGAGCTGCGCTTTTCGATTTGTTGTGTTGCCTCGAGGTAATTTATGTATAGATAATAATGAAAGTAATAACGCATAATAAACGACTTCAATTTTTCGCCGCTTTGGCTTAACACTTGTGCATGTATTAACCGGGCCTGGGGCGAACGGTTAGGTAGCTAAGCAATAAAATTGCCGCCATTTCCAGTTAGCCACATCGATGGTTTTTGTAGATACGATAAGACATACAAATTTAAAATAATAAAAATTACTTAAAGCCGATCTCAGAGTCTTAAAAAAGAGCCATTTAGTATACTTTGTCGATTTCATTCCAATGTCACTATACCATTTTGTTAAAAAAATATTTGTTTTAATGAATTTATTTAAATTATGATACAAGGGAATGTGAAGTACATCCATCGAATTTAATATACACATCTGTGAAGCATCTGCTTCCTTTAGTTCATTATAGAGTTCATTATGGGCATACGACTATATTAAACGCAAATGGAGATGAACAACACTTGAATCAAGAGCTATTGAGATTCAAGAATCATTTCAATAACTGAGCCATACATGATATGAAGCGCCCAACATTTTATACTGGGTCTGGTCATTGTTTTAATTATCAATTAAGAAATGCTTTTCATAAATGTAGGGACGACCCTTCGATGGATTCCATAAGAACCTTAGTTATTTAAGTTCTTAATATTTTTTTTAAGGAAATTAGTGATTAAACGTGAATTTATAATTAATTAACATTTTCCAATATTCCAAAAAGCAAAGAGCAACCGCAAATTTAAGTTTTTCGCATTGAATTTTAAGCTCGAACTCGATTTTTATACCCTGAACCCATTAAAAATGGGTATATCCTGTTTATAAATAATATAAATATAAATATCCTGTTGAATAATAAAAGCTAGAGTCCCCAAACTTGACATATAGCTTCTAAAATAGAATATATATATGCATTTGATGTTGGGAAAAGAAGGTTCAGGGTATCCTCTAGTCGGGAGGTTCTAGTCGGGAAAACCTCATAACCCCGAAATTGAATTTAATTTCTTATAAAATTTATATTTGATTACTTGTTAGGTTATTGCATTAAATTTTGTTATATACTGGTATGCTATTTATTTACTTTATAAAAAGCAATCAATTATTATGAGCTTCATACTTACATTATGTCGCCAGCTGACTTTGTGGATCCAGGGATTTGACTTAATGTTGCACTCGAAGAACACGTCTACGCCCTCTCGCAGCGTAGCATTTAGAGAATTTGTGCCCAGTTCCAGGCTTACAACGGGTATATCTATAAAGGTGGGTATGTGTATGATAAATATCAAAGTTGGGCAGTAGAGTAAACTCCCTACAACGATTTGCTGTCAAGGCAACTAGACACAAATTACTTAAAGCGCCACGCTTACCCATCCCCAAGCAAATCATAAAAAGCGTATGGCAAATAAAATACGCGGGCGCACACAAAGGTGTAATTATTTTGTAAGCCTCACAAATTAGGCAATTAAAGTTGTGAAAATTCGTGGCCCCGCCCCTGGGTTGTGCTTGTAAGCAATTAGTCTGGGGCCAGAGGATTTTGTATTTTGTCTATGGAAAGCGCCAAGTGTGCGAAAGTAATTCTATACGTGGTGCAGAAATGGACAGCAAAGATTTGTTTTGGGTTCGGGCGGACCTAAACAAGTAAAATTTTAACTTAATTAAACCGAAATTGGTGTGCGGAATGCGCGAATCAATTAAGCTTATTAAGCAATCTATCAAATTCTGCAAACAAGACCCCTTCCCTACCCAAACGGTTGCCCAATGGACCACAAGTTTCAATACAATGGGCGCAGCGGCGCATCATAAAAAAAAAAAAAAAACATTTTGAAAGGTAAGCAACCAAAGCGCACAGTAAAGGCAAACAGGAAACGGAAGCGGTGTAGTGGGTCGGAACGAGGGAGGAGGGATCTGAGGTGGATTGCCATTTAAATTTTGCGCAAACAGGTCGAAAAACTGTAAAAGCGTAAAGATGGCTTCGCAGTCGGCGTCGCTGCTTGCGGTGTTTGCGGCGGGTTAAAAAGTTTCGCAAGTTTGGCGCAAAGTTTTGCCGGCCGACCCTGGAAATTAATTTGCCAAACTTGCCACAAGTTGGCACACAAAAAGCGGCAAGAAAATAATATATAAAAAAAAAGAAAACAAACAAAAAATTATAGCCTCTGCCTTTTTGCAGCATTTTTGGATGAAAGTATTTAAAGTCGATATCGGCAGCGAACGTGGCAGCGGTGCCTTTGTGCTTTCGTTTTCATTAAAAAGTTGCGGCAAGCAAATTAAATATTAAGCATACGCCACCTTCGCTGCGGCTTTGGCATTGCCGGTAATTTAGAAGTCACTCAGATTGACTGAAACTAGGCGACTTTGATGTCATTCACTCCGCGCAGCTAATAAGCAATGCAGGCAAATGCCAATGTAAACAAAACTTACGATAGATGTCCAATTTCCAGCCATCCTCCATGCCCGACTCGTGTATCATGCTCTGCTCGGCACGACAGGATAGAAACTTGCCGCGATCGTCGATGGTGGGCGTGAATGTCAGCACCGATGTGGTCATATTACCATCTGGATTGGCCTGCAAAGTCAACGAAATAGCAAAACAGTTAATGGTCCTCTGTGTGTGCTGCCAAGCGAGACAAAGGAGCAGGACACCCCTCAGCGACGTGCCATGGACAGTCGTTGAGGCCGGTCCCTGCTTTTAATTGAAGGCAGCTACGTGACTGCCGTTAAAGTAACTTCAATTACCACAAAGCATGTCTACAAGCAGTCCCAAGAAGGGGGTTGACGCGAGGGGTGCTTATCTTGGGTCTAACAAGCAACCCCCGGCTTTGCAATTTGAATGTGCACACCCTAGCCAGAGTTGTTGTGGGGCATATTAATTGGCGAATTGGCGAATTTCTGTTTTTTTTTTTCGAATATCTTTTAAGGCATTGTTTCCTAACAATAAATTTAATCAATTCCGAAAAACCTTGTATTAGAATACCAGCTGTCGTATATTTTGCTGATGAATTATAAATTTATTATAGATAAGAATTGGTTAAATATTTATAATTTTTTTTCTTCTGTTTGTAACAATTGTATGGAGACGACTATAAGACGTTGTTTACTTTCGCCAATTACAGGTGCTTCTATGGTCGAATATGTTTTTGCTGTACCCCGTAAATTTTTCGACTCTCAAGGGTTTTTCGGCTCAGCTTGGGTACTTACAATTTCATGCGTATTCTTCATGGGCGTGCTGCCCTTCCACCAGGTAACCGTTGGCGCTGGACGTGAGCCGATGACGACGCAGCTGAGCTGATAAGAGTTTCCCGCCGAAAGCGGACGATTCTCGTCCTGCAACTTGACAATGAGAGGACGCACTGCAGCGCACACAATGATAAAAATTAATTAATTAGCTGATGTGAGCAGCGCATCCTTTGGCAAAACTCACAGTTCATGTCAAGGACAATGCTGCTGATAATTGGCGTTGTCAAATTATTGTTCTCCGCCCGGCACGTCAGCTGCATGTGGAGATTTTTGCGCTTCAGCTTGGCCAGCGACAGAACATTGCCCACCCGTCGCTCTGAGAGCGGGTGGCCCACTCCGGAGCTATTGAACATTGTATTGCCGTGCCACCAGGTAACCCTTGGCTGCGGTCGACCTGCAGCAAAGCAAAAGAGAAGAGAATTATTGAGTGCAACTGTGTGCATGCGTGCATGTGTGTGTATGTGCGGGTAGCTACAAGGATAAAAGAAGCGGGTCAAGCGGAGAGTATGAGCAGATATCTCCTGGGTGTGTGTGCAACTGATATGTTTGTTATACGGCTGAGAATTGAGCTTGCCCCCAAATCCCTGTCCCTGCCCCTGTCAGTTGCTTGCAGCGATTTAGCAGCTGTCTTTGACTGTTTGTTTATGTGCTCACAAGTGCAAGAAGTGCCCCCTGCAAATTGTGTGCGCGTGTGTGTGTCGTATGTTTGTATGTGTGTGCGTGTGTGAGTGTGCCCAAGTGCCTTTCGCTATTTCATTTGTTGTCTTGTTTGGCTTTTAGCAATTTTCAAGTGCTCTCAATGCAATTTGTGTGGGCATTGTTGATGCTCGTTGTGTGTTGGCTGTTGGCTGTTGGCTGTTGGCTGTTGGCCGTTGGTTCGTGCAGTCGACAGCATTTCAGCAAATGTGAAATTAAATAAAATGCGGAATCTTTGCCTGCATTTTCATGCTCATCACTTTTAATTGTCAGACACAAAAAGCAACGTCAACACTTGGCAAAATACTCGTCGACTCCTCGACATCATCACGTGGGAGACGTCGGGCACGTATAGATGAACTTACCGCCAATGGCCACGCACGTGACGTTCACACTGGAGCCCTCATTGTAGGGTCCAAGTGTATGATCCTTGATGGTGGCACCCTTGCTGTCCAGAATGATGATAGATTCAGGCGGAGCTGTCAAATGTAGAAAATAATTGAGAAATTTAATGTGTTGAAATGATCAGCAGAAACAGCATTATAGAGCACATGCATTTCTATAGTTTATTATTAAGGCTAGCTTTTTAAATTGAGGCTCAACACGTTTTGTTTAATAAAGCTCATTCTGTTAACTATTAAAACCCTACTTGAACTAACCCTTGCCTTAGACTCTAATCTATTTAATTTTCCCTTGGAAAACAGCTTTCTAGACTAAGCTTCTCAAAGAAACTGCTGTCTAAATATTAAAGAGCTGCTTTGCAGTCTCGACAAGCTGCCATGTTTCATTCGCAGGACTAAAGTCCTTGCTAGAGCCAGCCCACGCCATGCGCCGGCTGCAGGTTGCAAAGTTCAACTCAAAGTCAGATCCAGCTTTGCGCTTTATCTTTTTTTATATATATTTTTTTTCTGCCTGACCACGAGTGGTGCTGCAAGATGGCTTTACGATGCTCTCGGCCCGGCCATGTCTTGCTGTAAAATATATAGCCGTAAATTTTCGCCAACGTGTTGAGCAAACTTTTAATTTTCGCAAATTCGCTTGTTTTATTTGCCCACTTGCCACTATTTTGACTTGTTTGCTCGAAGAGCACGCGCCACGCTCCGATTATTCACTTGAAAATATTTGTATTTCGCTTGTAATGCTTCTTTTGATTTTTTTCAGCTATTTGCCAGCTGGAAATGGGCTTTATTCATGGCTATAATAGCCGGAGCTTAGTTCAACATATTTGCTGGCAAATTTGCAAAACATGTCCAGGACTTAGTGGCATCCTTTTTTCCCCCCTCTCTCTCTCTCTCTGTCTCTGTGCCCCACTCTGGCTTGTTATACCTTCCGCTGTAGACCCGCAGCGTCTTGTTACCGCTCGCATTAGCAGCGGCAAGTTGTCTAAACTGTCCACCCAAGGCTGGGGCAACTTTTAATCTAATACTCGTATCTTCTTTAAAGTTTTTGCCAACCGACGAACAAAGTTCTAAATCCAGCTATGGTTTTACGCTTCACATGTCACAAACACACGCATTCACACAAACACATACGCACACATACAATGACAGATGGTGGAGCATTGCATGCTGAACATGCTCAAGAAGTTTGTAAAACATAACCACGCCCCGTTGGCCAATGCCGCTTAACGCTTCATCTAACAGCAGCGACGCCGCTGCCGCTGCCGACTTCAACGCCAACAGCAACTATTTACCAACAATATTTTTTTTTTGTAACCAGCCAAAGACGTGGCCGTATATTTCAGCTAAACGCCTTTGGACTCGCATATAAATTTTAATGCTAAATTGCAAACTGGGGCCGTAGCCGCACACAGGTAACAGCCAGACGGCATTGAGAATACTCATAGAAGGATAATATAAAGAAATAAAACCTAATCGAGGCGTGTCCGAAGGCTAAATACACTTAATTCAATCAGTTTCCCATTCATTTAATAAAATGTATAAACATTAATCAAAAAACAACATTTAGTTTCTTTGCTTACCAATTTACAATGTATATATTTAATATATACAAAAATTATTAGAAGAAGTTAAAATACATTTTATACTTGCGTTTACCTGAGAGCTACAACAGTTCTTATTAATTGAATCTCTTACGCTGTATATTAATTTCTTTGTAAAGTTGTTCGTGTAGACCTCAAATATAATATTAGAAGTTCTCTTTGTAAATTTATCAGCAAACCTAATACCCTTTTCGGAAAGAGTAATAAGAATGTAGGAAAATACCATTTAAATAGCATAAATTCAATTCTAAAGTTTGCACGCTGCACTTTTTGCTTAAAGAGCAGGAAGGGCGGCGGAAAAGTTTTCGCCAAGTTGGCACTTTAAAAGCTGTTTGCGAACCAAAGGGAAATTGAGAAAAACTTGTTGGCTGAGTATACAGAGCATACAGTTGGCGTCTTATTTTGTAACTAATGTGTTTGTCCAAGAGCTGAGTGGTGGTCAGGATATGTCGCTGAACAAATTAGCTGCTCAATTATGCCACAATGTCATTGCAACTGCTGCTGCATGGTCTACTGCATGGTTAAGTGCTCAATACTTACTTATGACAGTTAAATTCACTTTGGAGTTGCGTGTAGGGCTCTTTTGAAAGTCGACACGACAGCGATACTCGCCCGTGTCGTCCTCTGTTGTTGACTTGATGGTCAGCGTGCCGGCACGTCCTTCCACGTGAAAGGATAGCCGCTCCCGATACGTTTCATCTGACCAGTGCGTGCCCTGCGCAAAGTTCGAGTCGCGAGTATCCACGCTAAAAAGAAAATAGAAAACAAGTGGAAAATAAATAAGACTGGATAAAAAACAGCTCTTAAATTGTGTGCAGCGTTTTTCTTAAACCGAAAAAAAAACTTTAAGGCTGCTCGCCGTGAAGGTCTCTCACCTGGCGCAAAACTTTTGCAAGCTGTGTAATTGGGTTCTGCACTGAATTAATAATCCCACTTAATGTGCACACCCCTTACCTCCCACCCCCCCATCCGTCTGTTGTAATTTATTGTTTTAGTTTGTAATTGTAGATTATTGATTAATTCTGTTTTTTCTTTTCTTATGTTGTAGTGGTTTGTGAGAAGGGCGCTAAAAAGTTACTATTACGAGCTTATTTCAGCGGTCAATCAATGGTCTAAAGATTTTTTATTTTGTATTTACAGCTGCCGTGTGAAATGTTTGGCTATTGATTTTTAAAGTTCAAAAAAGACTTTTATTTACTGATGCTGCTGTGTTTAATACCGGAATGACCTCAGAGTCAACACGAGCCTCCTGTCAATGTAAGGAAAATTAGACAGCATTTGGGTTTCCCTCCAAAAATACTAGGCGAATAAAAATTGATGCGTCTCTTTCAACCTATGTATATGAAAAACCAGCAATGTGATATTGAATTTTGCAATATGAAAAAGAAAACAAACAAGTGTAGTTGATTTAATGCCAAGCATTGCAAATACCAGTAGCTCTCGACAGAACTCCATGAAGCTGCAATTTTTAAACTAGCGCCCCAAAGTAGGCAACACTTCTACATGCGTAGGTAAAAATTGTTAGCTTGGCAGAGGCTATTCAATTTGTCTGTTTTAGAAACTATTTATGATGAATGCAGCTTAGATGCATAGTCATCTCTTCAGTCTGCACAGAAATTGATTGTTTTGCCAATATATGCCTTTTGTGCTTGTTTGTGTATTGCATACGTGCATCTGGGATATACTTTGGCAACCCTCGAACATAGTACGGTTATTAAGTCAGCGGCGCCCTATGCACAGTTTGACAGGCAGCCAGTGCTCGTCTGTGTTTTATTGCATTTCGGTTTTGATTTGCAGGCATCTGGCGCAGTTATGCAATGCTCAGCGTGTCCTGGTATAATGAGGCCGCTAGCGGAAAGAAGCAGAAAGCGAGCAATGGGCTGCTCACATGTCAGTTGGTAATAAAAAAGAGCGCTTCAAGTCCGAGTTCATCGATGGTAAATTGAAATGCCAGAAAGCTGAGCAGCCATTGTGGCGTTGAGGTATCAGTAAATTAAATTTTTTGGCTGCGGGCATGGTCCAGCGGAGAGCTGAAACGCGAAAAAAATGGCCAATGCGATTGGCAATGGCAAAAGGCAAGTTACGTTTTATGATTAATTTACTTGCTGAGTGGTTTTTAATTACAAGCAAGAGTTGAAGCGTGGCCTGCTACTCGGCTCGCTCTGACTGTCGTTACGCAACGCTAATTACTATTTTCGCTCTAGTCATTTGCAAGTCCTTGAAGTGCTGAAGTTCAATTAGTTTCAGCCGCATGTCAATGGCGTTGACTGTCGGCTTGGCATCTCAGCCTCAGCCAGCAATCAGCTAATCAGCGACTCTGTCTCGACACACACACACACACACACACAGACACACGTAGAGCGACACACATGCGTCCGAGTCTAACAAATCCAATTAAAGTTTTGCTTCTTTGATGTATGCAGACGTATCTATAAGATACAAAAAGGAAAAGTCTCTGCCAGTAACTAAGTACAATGCCATAATGTTCGACATGAATAATTGAAAAAGTTTTTCTTTGCTGTAAATGTAACCTTGAGGGTTAGATTCAGGTCGTCCTCGCAGCCAAAAACTTTACTCAATTTAGAGGCTCGTCTAACTGCCTGCCATTCAGGCAGCCTATCACCCTGTGTATAATTTTCTAGTTATGCTAATTTAATGGCTGCAGTTGAGCAGCCCCAAAAACATGCAAAAAATTGCTTAATTAGCAGACATTAAATCAAAATGAAAAAGTGCCACCTCCCAACCGCTTCCCTCTCCAAAGAAACACCAAACTGACATGTGCAGATTCCATTTACCCTCCCTCCTATCTTTCCGTCTGTCTGTCTGTATGCCTGCCAGTTGGCGAGTGGGTTGAGCGGGTTCAGCACGCAAAAGTTGTCTGTGGTAATCAATTTTGTTTATTTATGGACCTCTGCGTGTAGGTATGTGTATGTGAGTGTGGCTGTGTGCTTATCTGTGTGTGTGGTCGACGAAATTTTTGTGGCCTGGACCCAGCTTCCAGCTATGGCTCTGCCATTGACACAAGAGCTTGAAGGTTAGAAAAAAGGAGATGCTTGATTTTTGATAAGGGAAAGCTCTCAATCCGGCACATTCAGTCACACACAAGAAATGTATCAACTGAGCTAATTATCAATAAATATCGATAGCTGCTACGAATCGTTTCAGCCGGTCATGTGTTAAATTAAGTCTTTGCATATTTATTTAATTCATGTTTTTATGAATTGGTTTCTATCGCATAGAATTGTTTGCGCTGAGCTATTATTTGAGTCATTTATGAAATAAAGATACATTTTTTAGGGCTTACAGATTAAATCTCTTGCCTAATATTTAAAGTAAAATTTCTTTGTCCGAGCAACTTTATATCCTCTTAATTTGATATCACCAAGGCACTAAAATGTACTTAAAGAAAGAAGGTAATGATAGAGATAAATATTAGCTTTTCATACTTGCGTAGGAATTCACATATTAGCTTCTGAGCTTTAAATAGTTAACAGAGATTTTTACAAGATTCATGCATTCAAAATATATTTATTCTACTTACCTATATATTGGCGTTTTGAGTCCAACCTTGTACCAAATTACCAAAGCCACACGATCCTCATAGATGGGTGGGGTCACATTGCAGGGCAGTCGTCCCATTGTGCCAATTATGGATTCCGACAGAACGGGGGGACCTGAAAGCAACACAATAATAGAGAAAAGCATGATGAGTTGTGACAAGAAAAAACTTCAGCAAAAAGTAAAGAAAAAAGAATTTGTGTATAAAAAAAAAAATCCAAAACACTGAACTGTCTTACAAATGATGCATAATTAGCGTGGGGCATTAGCACTTTGTTATTGGGGCAGGCAAAACCCAAAGCCATAGCCAGAGCCGGAGCTAAAGCTAGAGACGCCGGAAACTGGCAAGTGGAAAGTGGAAAAGCAAAGAAAAATGCGGCGATCTTTTACTTAGTGCCACTAATAATGCTATAAATTAAAGACAAAAAGGCACACAAAGAGCTGAGTGGGTGGTCAGGGGCAAAAAGATAAAAGTGATGTAATGGCGGCGACGTCATCGTCGCAGTCGCCGCGTTTACATTAAAGTGAAATTAGCGCGCAAATCCTTTTTTTATGCTAATTTTTTCAGCGCTCAGTTTCAAGGGTTTTTCTTTGTTAACATTTTTAGATTTGTGCCCCGGCGCCAGTTTTTGAGTTATGCTTTTTGGGGGTTGGCGTATTTTTCGAGTCTCAGCTCTAACAATTTCGTACTTGGCATTTGTGCTTGCATCTATTTTAAACTCGCTTGCCATTTTATGATTGCAAGTGTCCTTTATATATTTATTAATAAAAATTATTACAAAAGAAAAACTGTATTTACTTAAAATATTTATAGGCGTTGTGCTTGCTCGTAGTAGTAGGTACATACTTTTTTTAAATTGTCAAAAATGGCTCAGTTGATTTCAAATGTTTTTTGTGATCAAATTCTCTGGCCAGTAAACATTATTCTGATTTCACTTCATTTAATTTTAAATTATGCAATTGTATAGAAGTGTGTAAGGTGTATAATTTTCTTGTTACTTAACTTTTACAAAATTTAAAAATAATTTTGTTTTCGGGCGGCCCCAAAAATATTGTTAGCAGCCCTTTTTCGGCCAAGTTTTTGCTTGTATTGCTTGTCCCTCGTCACTTTTTGTATCTTATTTAAATCACTTGTAAACTAATTTGCATTTCTTAGGCTCAACAATTTCGTCTTGTTGCCCGGGCAAACAAAGTTATTAAAATTTGTAAAGTATTTTCTCGTGCATTTGGCAGCCGACGTTGATTTTGTAATTAAGCTGCGCACAAAGGCTTGGAGCAGCGGACTTTGTAATTTGCTTGTATTGTGCTCAAATTTCGCATTGCTTAAAGCGTAGCAAAAATAGACGCATCACTCATACGACGCGCTGACAATGTGTGCTTTGTTTTAATTTAAAAGACGGCGGGCTGATGAAATGGGGCAGCTAAATAAGTCAGAGGCTGATTTATTATGAGCATAAACAGTTATTATGAAAGCTAACAATTTTGCATACTAACTAACCATATGAGTTATCTCTCTGTACACACACGAGCAGACACACACATACACACACACACAGCGGCTGCCATCTAAACCGGAAATCGTTTCGCTTGCTTTTTTGATGTGGCTCGTGCCTGGCTGCCGCCATGTTTCGATTTCTCGCTCATTTCATATGCAAATATGTTCGATTTGCCATTAGGCGTTGCCGGCATCGCAGGCGACCGCAATAATGATGCCCGATGATGATGGCACACACACACACACACGCACCCACACAAAAACACTTGTTCACACAGAGAGTGAGAGAGAGAGAGAGTGAGAGAGAGAGAGAGTGAGAGAGATAGAGAGAGAGAGAGAGAGAGAGAAGCAATGAGGGTGTCTGACGCAATTTACATTATCTTTGCATTTAGCTAAACGAAATGCCAACATTAGCAAAGCATTTAATTATAGCAATTAGCTAATTAGAGATTTTCACTCAGCCTCAACGCATTTCGAACCTAAATTGTTCGACTTCGGCAACAATGATTTTGTTCAATCCCACCGAACGGTCTACCAAAAATCAATCGTTAAATGTGGAGAGCATTGTTGGTAAATTTCTGCTGAATGTGCAGCTAACGATTTGTATTGGGTACTGGTGTATGTGTGTCTTTGGGATTGATTTTATGTTCGTGCCGTTTAAATAATGCAAAATATGAACTACATTCGATTTAAGACTTACTCCCGTGCAACGAGCCAGACCTTCAGCTCGTAAATTTTAAACAGCAGACACCAGCCAACGTCTACGACTCGCAACTACAGGAAACTGAGCTCGAAAGGAACTCGTACGAGTAATAAGCAAGCAGAATAAGCTTTATGCACACAACGCGGCTGGAAAAAGATACACATATATGCTCGCTTAATACCTATATACCCAGTTATATGTATAAATACTGCGCTGTCTACGGCTTATTGTGCACACAGACGATATGCATGTGAGTGTGATGTGCGTTTATGCAATTTTATGAAGCTTGACTCAGCGTCTGGGTTGAAAATAAAGTAATAAAGTTAAAGATATGTAAAGGAAATTTTTGGTATTTGTACTTTGCGGGCGTTGCAAGCGTAAAGTATTTTGCATTAAATTTAAAATCAGTTTCTGTTTGACCACATGCAGCTCATAGAGTATATATTAAAGACTATACTTAATTTTAAAAAGTTTGTAATATCCCTTTGATCTAATTTAACGAGAACACTTTGACAGAGAAGAGCCAAAAATAAATATAGAATTTCTAAGAAGAATACTAATTAACTTTTTATTATTGCTACTGAATATATTTTGACCTATGTAAATGACACGAGTGGACTGACGAGCAAACCTCTGCTTATTACGAATTTATCATGTGATATTCCGAGTATTTCATTCTTCGTTATTCTTGATAAACTTCGTCTTTACAACAGTCTCATATGCAGGCGTAACTTTAATATTTCCTATATATATATTTTATTTAAGCAAAACATTTATTTCAGTTTTTCTCAGTCTGATGGTATAAACATTAAAGATTTGGCTATTTGTGGCTAATTGCGCGCCCGCAAAAGTATGCTACACTATTTCTTTTATTTGGGGGCCTATAAAAATGCAATCAACGTTAATAGCAGAGCGGGGAGCAGCAAAGCGGCCATTAAAAGTGTCACCGTTGCAGCTATAAATAGCAAAAGTTTCTTCTTGTCAACATTAGCCCTATATGCCAGACATAGCAGCAGCAGCAGCAACAACAACACACAGTACAAAACAAACAAAACAACAACAAAGGCCAAATGCAGAGTAGGCTCATTAGCTTGCACGCACACACACACACATTCACTCAGTCCCGCACACGCATATGCCAAAAATGCATTAAAAGTGTACACATGTTTATGCATATGTGTGTGTGCGTGTGTGTAATGTTTATGCGAAACTCGTCTACGGTGGCAAATTAATGGCACATAAAATTATAACTGAACGCACTTGAAACCGACTGCGACAAGCGGCAACCAAAGGTGGCGCAACCAGCTAGTGCCTCTGCCACATTAGATGGCATTCACAGCTGCCAGGCATAGTCATAAAATACTAACGGCAATCGCTAATAGTGTATGTGTTTGTATGTCTCTGGGTCTGTGGGTATGTTTGTGTTTGGCTTATACTGGTATAAGTGGCACTCGGCTCTCTTGCTTTCATTAATTAAAAGCAATGCCTTCCTCAGCAGCAGCAGCAGTCGCAAGTTGGACTTTTGCTCAGCAGTAATTGGCGTTGTTTTGACTTTTAGCCCATTTATAGCCAATTATTTTTATTGCCACGCCAAAGCAGAAATAGCGGAAAAAAACGAACACGCAAAGGTGTGTAAATAAATGAGTTTAAGTATTGGTGCATGTGATGTACACTTTAATTGCTAAACTCTGGGCTGATGAAATCAATTAAATGTCAACAATTAAGCATGTTTGAAAACTGCGAAGAACTCAACCCATTATACTTATTACGCAAGCAGTATGCAGCTGGCTTTGGAATTTGCACACAAAGCCTGTTTTGCAAATGTAAATAAAGTTTATTAAGGGTTAAGTACTATTTTCACTATGCCATTTTTTCTCACTTACGTCAAATAGTAATTCATTTTAATCATTTTTTGCAAATTTATATCATTAATTAAATATTGCTGATAATGCCACTTGTTTGCCGCCCCGGGGTATGCAACCGACGCACAGGCCGATAAAGGGCTGACTTTGTCATTTACAGAGGCAAAAGCAGGTGGTTTCTGACCTGCCATCACAAATAAATGACTATAATTAATAATGCTATTTGTGGTAATTAAATTTAATTTTAAAATTTAAGCTGTGTCAATGTTGTTGAACCTTACAGCTACAGCAAAAATGTGTGTGCAACAAGCTGCACAGGGAATGCCCAATAATAAAAGGAAATTCCTTTAATGAAATGAAGAAGAAAAGAAACAAAACTAATACAATTTCAACTTTAACAAGTAGTGAGCACGAGCTCAAAAAAATCTGGCAAAAATTATTATGCAAATTTGCTTTCATATTAGTGGCATTGCTCAGTGACGAAGTCGACAGTTTCAGAGACGGAAAAAGTGAAAGAAAAAATAGAAATGCGACTCGAAACGTGGCAGGGCGAACTCAGTTGACAATGGCAACATTTGCTGATTTGGCAAAAAATGTGCTCTGGCAAACGCAACGGGCGTGAGGGCTGCTAGAAAAGCAACGAGCAGATGACAATGTTGGAATTTGCAGCCAAAGCCAAGAAATTGGCAACAACTGACAATAAAAATTTAAATAAAATTCTTGTCAATATTTGGAAAATAATAATAAAAAATATATAAGAATATAAGCAGCAGCAAAAATGTTGTTTCAAATAAGTGCAAACATTTGCATAATTTACCAAAATCATGAGCCATAAACCAAATGAGCTTTCACCCCTTAAATAGCTGATACTTATGGGAACGCTTCTGCCCTGTAGCATAAAAGGCAAACACTCGTAAATGCTTTTATACTTAGTAAATCATATTGAATCAAGTGCAGGGCGCGCTAATTGTTAACGGGGCGCTTTTCTAGGGCACTGCACAGGGATTCCCCACTGGGGCATATTTTCGGAATGCCATGAAAAGCACGCCATAAAAT